ACATCACGATCTTGATGATAGCTCATTAATGTGAGGGCTGATATATGTTCATCAGCGCTGACGTGTGTGTGTGTTTGTGTGTGTGTGTGTGTGTATGTGCGTGTGAGAAGGAAGACGTGGGTTCGACCCGTCCAAGACATACCAGCCGTTCTTAAACGACATTTGATGTCTCCCCGCTTGGCATTCTGCACTTAAGGGCTGGCGCAGGTTAAAGTATCTGGTCTGTCAGTGAAGAATACAGTACCTACTATACCTTTTACTAAAACTAGATTATTAGATAAAGAAACCGCCATTTCTAACGTTTCTTTAAGCAAAAATGGTTCAAAGGTTTGTCTTTTAATTATAAATTCCATTACAACGAGTAATAAGGCCGTGTACCGGAATGACGAAGGACTACATAATTCTTCTAATCCCAACATAAATTGCGAGGCTATTCGAGTCGAGCACGAAGGTATTGAACAAAGTAATGAGAACCACAACAAAGACAGAGATGATCACCACTGTTAACTGGAGTAAGCGATTATGTTAATATCTTAAGCTAATGGCGACCATAGGTGATTGGCGAATCTCGATATTAAAAAACGTGAACATTTTCACGGAAATCTCATTTACATGCACATTCAAGTATGTACTGAGAATAACTTTGCTCAATTCAAATTATGAATTCGTTCTTTATCATTTTACGACAAGTGGATATCAAATAGCGATTTTTTTTGGGGGGGGAGGGGCATTCACATTTTACCTTTTCTTCTGGCTTGCTTGTAAAATCACATAGGCTCAATGACACATTTTACATTGCAGCATGCGGGATTTAAAAACTATAATAGTCTAAATGTTATGCCGCTTGCCAAACGCAATATAACACATAGCAAGTAAGCACTGTTTCCTTTTCTACAAGTGTTTCGTGGCAAAATTATGTGTACGTACTCGCAGAAAAAAACTATAACAATTTGATAACTTTCATTCTGTTAAGGTGTTTCGGGTAAAATTCATAAAATGTAGAAATTATTCTCTGAGGTTCAGGGTATATGCATATTACCATTAAGGCTTAGAATGAATAGCACTAAACTCCATTAGGTATCGTTCTTGGAATTATTTCACAATTAATTATCGATCATGGCTAGGTTTTCTGTGAAAGGGCAGACACGCTAAGGTAAGATAGGGTCATTGGAAACATTGTACATGGCTTCAGCTATATGTGTAGTATTTGTGCAGAAAAATTGTTACTCTGTCACAGGGACTACCGTAGGACATACAGTTTAATTTGTATCACAACATTTTTTTTTTCTTTTAAAGCCATTAGGAGTGCTGAGAAGAAATGCAGAAATTGATGTATGATTTTTATGTCGTTGTATTTCATTTGAACTGTAAGATAGAACTGTAATCTATTAGGTATAATTCCAAATATAACAGAAGCTTAGCGTTATGTTTCCAAGAAAAATAGGACACGTACGGCAGGTGTAATAGGTGGTATTATGTATTTTTATAGATGCCCTAAACAGATAAGAAATCAATACACGCATGCCTAAAGCTATATATATAAGCAGTCATTCTCGGAAAGTGCTGATGTTCGCTTAAGGCGAAGAATGCATTTAGAAATCCTGTCTTAAATGTTTAGCAAGGTTACCGCAACAATTCACATCTGATTAGTCGTCCTTTATTCATTGGTTGTCATTGATAAGATTATGCCCAGGTATCAATTCAGTCATTCTTAACTAAATCAAAAACAGCGTACCAGTATGTAAAACAAGAAGAACATACTTCAGAGGATCCCCTCGAGCGAATAGGCCAAGAAATCCTGAGCAATTAAGGCCAACCTTTGCACATGTACATCATTTACATGTTTTACCTTCATGCCCAATGCGAAATACGAAGTATGGACAGGATGGCGGTTTACAACATTTTATTATGAAAGAGCTCTAGATAAATGTTTTTTTAAAACTAAGTTATAAAGATGTCTTTCGTACAACATGGTTAGAACCAAAAAGTAATTTGAGATAGTGAAATTGGAAGTGAATAAAGGAAAACTTCTAAGTGTGAACTAGTTTTGAAAATGACACTAATCATACCTTATAAAATATAAAATATGCAGCTTAAAACATACATACATACAAAAACGCCCCCACTCTGATAAACTATATTCATGGGACCAAATGTCACAGATTGTGCTTGAAATATAAATTTATATCACTGATTTCATTAAGGGAGATACAGCTATCGAATAACTTTAAAAGGTTTTGCTAACACCACACGGCTGTCGTTTCCTGTGACGAAAAGTGTAATTCATTTCGTATACGAGTTAAAGCCATTTGGCTCACACACAAAACAGAGACGTCATGTACAGTAATGATTTGAGAGGTATCTTTATCCCTGATGCAAAATTTCGCCACTTTAAACAAGTATTGTGACTGGTATAAGATGGTCTATCGTTTGATGGGTTGTAAATCTCCGGTTTTCATTGATTGTGCCGAATCTGATACTTTTCTCCTACGCATCTGAATTGTCAAGATAAGTACTTGAAGGCACGGATCGTTTTGTTTCTCATGTTCTTTGACCAACATTTGGCATGTTTTCTAGCTTTCACAAGTTGTCTTAGGATCGAATTGATTACTTTTGAGCATCATAATTAACATTTTGTCCCAAAAGCTAAGAAAAGCTCGCTGACGATGTAGTATTTTTTTAAAGAAAGAAGATAACAACTGTTGAGTTGAGTAATTTTACTCAGTTTAATGACGAGATAATTGAAGAAAATAACCAAAAGCGATACCAAAGTATCTAAGTAAACTCCATTTAAATGAATATGAGATGAAAATGAGCATGCCTGATTTCTTATCTAAAATCCTTAGTACAAGAAAATACTGAACAGAACTTCTTCAGAAAAAAATTAGCCGAAAGATAGCAGATGAAAAAAATGGCCAGAAAAATTTTATATGTGTTCAAAAATAAGCAAAATGACCAAAGAAAACTGCTGAAAAAGTGACGTTGGAGACAGAGAGGGTTCGAAAACCAAAGATAAACGGAATAGGCTAAAGAATAGTTAAAAAGAAAAGGTAGAAATAAGGGATGATGGACATGTGGGCACGAATCGTAATAATGCCGTTTATGCACTAGGTGACACAGAATAAGCGTAGGTTTAAAAGAAAGAAAAGAAAACTATAAACGAACGCAATAAGAGCAAAATACATGTAAATGTAACTGCATCATGGGGGTATATAATTACTGGTGAAATCATACATGTTGAACTTATGCTTTAATGTCTTGAAATTGTTGTTTAATGCAACCATAACCTATGATCTGATATTTAATGTGCGTGTTTATAGTTAGTGAGAAGCAAAAAAGAGAAACCTGTGGATACTGTTTCGCAACGAGGCGGAAGAAAACGAGTGTGTACATGTATTCACAAAAAAGAACTTAAAAAACTAACAGTCTGCTAAATGGAAAGTAAAACAAAACGATGAAGGGCAGTTATTTCACAATAGTGCCAGTTTACGTATAGTGATCTCTGTGTCTGCATAGACTGCAATGTTGACTGTAATGTATGTGTACAAGTGCTGTTTCATTCTGTCTCCTTCCTAACTGTCCTAATAATTTCACACATTCCAGAATTTTTAGGACCTAGCGAGCTCTCTACTTTTAATTTCTCTGTGCTTGTTGACCACATTTAAACCGTTTTAAAACACGCGCTTCCTTAATGAGTAATGGTGTATCATTTAAGTCGGACCTGACTGAGGACTACGCCGCTCTAAATAAAAAGCAATATACGATCACAGCATATGACTGCTAAAAAGATAATTGACAGAGCAACTTGACGCATATATGATCAACCAACTAGCTTCTTTTAGAAGCCCATAAGTTCACATCGCTTCCGTCTCCAAATTCAGATCAAATTTCAAATATTTAATCACTGTTAAGATCAATACGTCTCATCATGGAATATATTGAGCGTGAACCACTCCTTTGTAAATGTACACTGTGTGCGCCCCATCTGTCATCCATACTCCATTGCTGTTGCGGAGACACACCTCGTTGCACTTGTGAAGCAAAACATTCCGAGCGCTGGTATTCCTGGCTTACGAACAGCACTTTTTTTTACTAAACAAACCACCAAATATGATTTCTTTTAAGAATTTACTTGTTATACACTGATTAAGGGTTACAACATGGGATGTACAATTTTAGGCATCAAAACTGTGACAAAGTTAATGCAGTAAAGGGCCAGACGACACCGCACGTTGAGCTGTGATTGATCGTCTGCAAACAAATTGCGGAGGTGGACAGAAGGGCAGTTGACAATCGGTTTTATCACTCCCCTTTAAGTAAATGCAAGAGACTGGATTAAACGCTTGACCACAGGATTCTTTCTAAGTAATACTAGAAAGGAATTCTAGGCAATTTCCTGTCACAATCAAAGACTTTTGCGGTCAATTTAACACCGCTGTGTTCTCTCGTTATCGCCCTCTTGTTTTATCTAGCCTTGTTTTACAGCGAAAAGAGCTTTTTGTCTCAGCTATATGCTATCATAGTCTATATCAAGTAAATGCAGTGATACAGGGTCTGGTGTACATTTACAATGGGCAACGTGGTGCAGTCCCAATATGATCCAGGTTCGTAAAACTCAACATGATCTCAAACAGAAAACAAGTTGATTGCTTTGCCTCGTGCCATGAGTAAGGAAGTAAGAAAGAGATATCCTAGGACTTTGATAACAGTAATAGGTAAGAAGTAAACAATTCATAAATTTCTCTTCATTAAACTTCTTTTTGTAAACACATAATTAAATCAGTTCAGTAATTACCCTTTGTAGAATTCCACTTAATTGCAAGCTATTCATTCAAATACTGCACACCTGGAGCTTCAGTAGCGAAATATGCTTCGAACTAGTGTAAACATGTCCTTGGGGAACTCTGGCGCTAATTAGGAATTAATGCTAACTAAACATTAGGATCACGTGTAATAATCCCGGTGCGTCGAGAGTGCGGAGGAGTGAATGATTTTAGGAATTCCGAGGACTTTAAACGTCTCAGCTATTCCTCGAAAAAAAAGCTCCCAGACAGCTAGAAATATACTACTAGAATTATTTAACCAAAAAAGAAGATATTAACTTGATGACGTGTAGAAGGCGCAGAGTATAAATATTTCTTATATCTAACCCACAGTGCAACTTTCAGAAGGTACATTGTAACAGTTCGTATTCACCGATTGATGGACTTCTTGTTTGTTCGGTCATTACAAACATCTTGGGGAAAGTGTTTAGAGGAGCGAAAAGGGATTGTCAGGTAAGAAACCTTTTGCAATGAATACGCAAGTAAAAGCTTTTGTATATCACTTACACTGTGTGAATGTCGCTATTACCGAAGAATGGATCTTCAAGGACCCCAGCTTGCACTCGGACCGAATTGTTTTGGTGGTTTTTACACACCTCACTACCGTGCGGAAAACATCAGTTAGAATTGTGTGCACTGTTTTCAGCAAAAACAAAAATATTTTATGTACAATAGGTTTGACGTGGAAGGATGAGCGGCACGTGTAGGTTGGACAAAAATCAAATCGAATACATCTTTAGGTATTTATTGCTCTTACGTTTCCACATCTGCATAACTATTGTTTTTCCTGGTTGCTGAAGTGGGAAGGTGCCTTGTTTTTGTGTTTTTGACACCCTCTGTGTAGAAGGCGCAATTTCGAATGTTTTTAAAGTACCAAGAAGAAACAGTTACTTTAAATTAAAGTGGTAAGCATTAGTAATCTCCATCATGGTATATATACACAAATATAACGCACAACTTGACAGGATAAATTATACTCAACCTTGGGATTCGATAAAGAATTTCGTAACAGCTGATCGATTTGACTTGGAACTGTATTAAGCAGACTGGTCTCGGGTCCAAGACCTATACACAAAACAAGGTATGTTTTATGCAGTTCCAACTCCTGACAACACTTAGTGAAATGTAAGCTTATTTTGGTACGTGCTATCGCATATTAATCGTTTATATTGAAAAGTAAAATATAATGATAGATAAAGATTCAATTACACTTATCCCTCCCTGTTTTCTTTTCAAAATAGCCAAATTATGTGGTCGAATGGTAATTAAAAATTGCGCACGATCAATGATTTTGATTCTAAAAAGAAAATTACTTTTTTTTTTTTTGCAAGGTAATTACAAACATCAGAGGTTGCACAAATGTTGATTGTAAGGTCGACAGTTGCGTTAAAGTCAGATCTTCAAGTACATTTTTATTTAAACAGATTGTTAGATCACCTTCGCAAATTGTCTGTTATTTAAAGGGAAATATGTTAATCAGTTTGAAGTCTATACTTAGAGATTTGTGACATATTGAATAATTTTTTCAAATATGAGATTAGTCAAAGAATAGAAAATATGGAAAATGTTACCATTAATGTACATACATATTTTACTGCATCTAAGAGTCATAAGAACGACACTTAACCAAGGGAGTTCGAGTGTCGGTCAAGGTAAATTACGGTATGGGTCGAGTGTCCAGGGCAAGAGAGAGGGGTGTGAAATGCCCACTTTTCCCATCTACTCAGGAATACACAGGAATATGGTTTCTTTAAAATTGTAGACCTGTTATCTGTTTATTCATTTATTTATTTATTTATTGCAAATTGAGCATCAGTCGCAGGATCTCGCTAATTTCTACAATCTCACTGTAACTTACTATGAAGGAATAGAAAACTATGACAGACGCATAGACCACTTAACTAAAGGTCAAGGGGTGAACCGCAAACTCGGATATTTCATACATGACACCGGTTTGTGTATAACACACCTGATATATTAAGCGATGTTTTTGTTGAGTCTAGCTTGGTATGGATATCTTCCGCACTGGATACAAAAAGGGTCAGTTTAACGAACCGAAATTCTTACATCAATTTACATCAAGTTAGTTTGAATAGTATACTACTGCAGACCTGCTGTCTTACACGATCACATAGTGTATCCAGTTTTCTTAGTAGTAAAATAAAACTGTTTATAAAGCAATGTGCAATAATCCTGCCTAGGTTACCGATGTTAGCAGCAATTTATAATTTGGAAAATTAAGAAAAATTTGCATCAAACAACTCAGTTGTTTTTCTACGTGCAAATGACGTAACTGTTGTGAACGACATGTCTTATACATTTGCCGATTTCCATGAACAACGGATAAGCAGACGAATCACCGCTTGCCTTCCAGACGATCGATCATACGTACCGTTGCACTTCGGGTATCAAAAGCAAGGAAGGGTGACAGGTTTACTTTAGAAAAATGCCACATCCATTAATATTTTCAAATTAAAACCATTTCATTTAAACTACGATGCACTTTGTAATTGCAGAGATTTACGTTGGTATTCCTAAAGTTTAATCAAGTTTGTAATAGGGAAAAATGTAATGTCAGTGTTGCAGAGCCTAAAAATATTAACCTAACTTGTGTTCGGAATTTTGTGCGGACAGAGTATTGAAGCCACGATACGAAAACATAAAACGCCCAGTTCCAGTTTGGGAGACAGTTCCCCCACGAAGACAGGCGTGGGCACACTTTACTTGTTAAAAAAACGAGAAAAAAATTATTTAACGTCCCTCCCTCACCCTATTATAATGCCTACGCGTATTGTTCCAGAGTAGGGGATAAATCTCAACGTAATTTATTCCCCCCTTAAATATGGCTCTATCATCTTAGTTGTATCCATAATGAAAACAGTTAAACCAGTAGCTGAAGGTGTCTTATTTATAACAATAGCCTGACATTCCGCTCCATTTCATTATAGGAGTGTCTTTTTGCGATTTCTGAAATCAGTGGTGATGATCTTTGATAGGGCTCATCATGGCCTGGTTCACAGTGCCGCTTCCAAGATTTTTGAATTTGTAAAACTGTTATCAACTTTGCACGCTGCGTGCGTTGAATGGTATGATTCCTTTCCTTATCATGCCTACATTGTATTGTTAGGGCAACAGAGCCTCTTTTACAGACTGCAAAAAATCCTCATAGTACATTTCACCAGCAAGTACTTAGTTCTTTCCCGATATATGCTTCCCTCAGAAAATTGAGAAGAATCTGTATTGGGACTACGGCCATCATTTTTGCCAAAGATGGTACTCTACAAATATTTCTTTGTGTCGCCTTCGCACAAAGCGCCTATACATATAGTAGGCCTACTATAATACAGTGTTCTGGACGTTGCCTAGATAAGAGCTGGCCTATTGTTTTTATCCCTACATCACAACAAGGCAACCCCCATATCTGCACCCGGTGACCCGAGTACTGAACATGTGGTTCCCAAATTTTTTTGGATATGCACGTACGCATTCCTACTTCCCTATTTACATTTGGTAGATAAAGCTTCCTTGTCTTCTTCTGGCTTTGGCTGATTTGAATTGGACAATTGTGACAGACAAACGATGTTGGCAACTTGGAAGCGGGTGGTGTTTTTTCCCAGGAGTAAATCTAAAACACAACGGTAAGAAAAATTGCACATCCATTAAGAATTATAATTGCGTGATTATCAAATTCAACACGTCAGGAAGGATAAAAGATACGAATGGATAGCCGTGAGTGTTATGATCACGTAAATCAAAGGCACAGATCTGTTAGTTACATACGCTATCGGAAGATAGGTGAGAAAAATTGTGTTAAGTTGAAAAGGAAATGCTGAAACGCCGAGCGTACTTCATAATGTATTTCAGTATGATATTGCTAAACTAGATTATACTTATTCTATAGATTTAATGTCAGATAATTAAGCAGGTACATGTAGAAAAAAAATTTAAAAATCGAAATTCATGAAAAATATATTTATATAAAACGCAGGTTCTGTTAGCGTTTTATTGTTATTATTTTTTGTGTGTGACCTAATTAGAACATTAGCATGGCTTTTTTTAATTCCTCGGCCACGGAAACATTGGACTTGATCCAAACCAAAATCCTTTGACCGCAACTTAAAAGAATTTAGTTATTGCACACGACTTGTACTAAAATCGCACCTGGAATACAGGGTACGGAGGTATGTGGGCCACGTGGATAAATTTCATGCGAAAACTGGACAATTAGTTCCTTGTGGAGAAAATATACACAAGCACGCATGTAACAAGCTCCATATAAAATAATAGATAAATATAGTAACGGTAAACTGGCATTAAGGGCAAGAATAAACTGCAGGATGTCTATCCATGGAAGAAAAGCGGCGATAGATCTGTTACGTATTTTGCTGAAGCTGGGCTTCTTGTGCTGAGTTAGATGAAATCCCTCTTTGCAACAACTCGGGTTTTGTCGATAGGTCTCTGTCATTTCTTACTGAGAAGAATTACAGTCTATAGCATGCTACATTTTTGTTTGATGAGTTGTCTGTTTATTGTACATTTTGGGTTCTGTGTAGATATTTGGTGATACAGAATGGTATAGAACTGCAGCAAACTTGTATGATTTCACGCACTTAACACTTGTTTTTAGTTGCAGTTTTGTGTGGTCGATATTTTGGCCTCTAATCCCTAAGGTCGTTTTTGAAAAACAACTGTTCTTGTTGATATACTGTAAGCCCATTTCATCAATTTGTTATTTCGACTCAGCACAGAGTTAAATTGACGTTTTTTTCATAAACAAGGGAGTTAAAGCACATGTTTAACGTTTTAACGATTTTCATTCTAATTAACTTGTCTAATAAACAGACAGGTATTGACCCCATTGAAAAGTTGTAGACGCTGAAAAAATGTATTGGTGATTAACACTATACGCACATATCGTTAAATGTCTGTTATGTTTTTCACCTTGAGCACAAGCGTCATAAATCAAGGCGAATTTTTTTTTGTCATACATCATTAATTTTCTTTATTGCACATGGGTTGCTCTCTTTTCTATTTGGGTGAACATCCGTTCTTAAATGCTGATTCCATTGCACTGACGACGATTCCTAAGCAGGTATTGATCCAGGTTGTTATTGTGCGCCGTAAGTTCAAGCAGTCATCCAGAAGCTGTTGAATTTTTAAGTTATTTTTTCCTGATCTTAATCAATGAAAGTTAACGTTGCGACTTATTATCCCAATCAAAATCAAAATTGTATCTTTCCGGTCTCATTTCACAGTGAGTGAGTTTCTGTAATTAAATATACCTATCTTTGGTTTATCACTTACAAATTTCATTAAAAATAGTTGATAATAAGATGATGAAAATCAATTTTAGTGTTTAGAATATTAATAAAAGTCAAACAACCTAATCATTGACTCAATATCAATGCTATCAATATCCCCGCCCAGTAATTTAATGTCTCGATGTTTACAAT